TCTCAGTCATGCATGGATGGATTTTGTTCAGATTTAGCACAATGTGTTGTACATATGCAGGTGCATTTCGGTCATGATCTGCTTTGAATGTATATGTCACTCAAATATGAACGGAACGGGGACGTGTCATTCATTGACAATGACTTGTTTTCAACGAATGCTGTCATTGGAGCCATATTGCTAACATGACTGGACTAATCATGTTCAAACTTTACACGTACATCATGTAACACATTTGTTCATGTATCTGTTTAAGAATCTGATTCAAGATGGCTGATCGTCTATTTTAGGCTAATAAACGGGTTACACTTCAAATCATGTCTTTCATATGATTGCCAATAATTATTTGGCACTAATGTTTACAGTCACTGAAATATGGATGGGGACTTGTTATTGACTGTGCCGTGAAATGTTATGAAAATTGTTTTTGTTGATTAATTCATGTATTCTTGTTTTACTTACAGTACTGGTACTGACAGTGTTCGCAGTAAAAGGAAAGATGACACCGATAAAAAGAAGCATAAAAAATTCAAGAAGGCAAAGTTCCCAAAAAAACAATAACACATCAAGATAAATAAACTTTTGTTTTTCATTCTGGTAAAAAAGTGATACAAGTTTATTTTTAATGTTACTATTAAAATACAGCGTAATGCTATTATAGAAGAACAATAAAAAAATGTTGTTTATTAATTTGTGCTTTTTTAGCTGTTCTGTGCATGTAAATCTCGCTAGTAGCCGAGCCAGTTTTAAGACATAAAAATATTATGCCATATTGATGAATCATGGTAGCCAAAGTCATTACTGTAATCTAAATAACATAATAATTGATGAAAATTAGAGCAAATCTTTTGATACAATGACAGAATATATGATACACAATATTTTGCTGCTGTGTATTTGCTACAGAATGCTTGATACTGTAGAATACTTTATTTTCGCTTGGAATTTCGCTATTTTCGCTGAAGGGATGATTCCGTGAAAATAAAATCCAGCGAATATACTTTTTTTTCTATATTTCACATTAAACTCATCAAAAATCTGTGAAAATAAAGCCTTTTCAGCAAAAATTAATTCCAGCGAAAATAAAGTATTCCACAGTACTTGATATAATATACCTAGATCGATATAATATACGTTGTTTAGATTTTCATTTTTTTCAAATGTCGCTTTTTTACCATTTTATTTGGATATCACAAATGTTCCTCTTCCAAAATAATTGTACACAGGATAATAATACACAGGATAATAATACACAGGATAATAATTAACAGGTAAAAGACAATTGGATAATTTATACTGTGTGCAGATAATGTAAATGATTTCTTCCATGTTATGTGCATGTCTTGTCCATATCATGAAGGCGATGTGGAAAACACGTTATTAACAGCTTTTTGGCATATTTTAATTCTTCCTGTAAAGTAATTTTAGACAAATTTATTTTAATTGACTTTACAGGTGGAAAATTGAAATAACTTGAATTAAAAACATTTTGGTGTGATGATTATTTTTTGATTAGAAGTGACAAAAGTTGCAGATCTATTTATACGACAACATTTTTTTTGCAACATCAAATAAATAAATAAAAATTACACACTTACAGAGAAATGTGGAATTCCTTCAATGCTGTCAATCTTAAGATTCAGTGTTCCTTCTAAAGCCACTGACGGGTTTCTGCAGATCTCTAAACAGCCGTCATGATCTGTTACCAGATTATTCAACATCACCAGGAAGTGCTTGTGTGATGCATTGTGGGTGGTCTGTAACAGCTCCAGTAACTGGTGAACATAACCCAATTTGTACAAATTGTCTGTTACCACAAATAAAGATTAAAAAGATTCAAATGTCATATTTTAATTATTAATTCTTGTCAAACATTGGAATGTATGGAGAATATTTTTTATGGTAATATGAAATGCATCTCCACTGATCACAAAAAAGCACGTCGGTTGAAAAATTAAATAATATCAAGTCTGTGAAAGAAATGTTCAAGTTGGTGTAGTTCACCTTGAAACAACCATGCAGATCCTCCATTGTTTACGGTTAGTGTGTCTATGTGTATGAATGTATTGCTGCATTTGTGGTGTCAACTTTATGACTTTCATTTAACTTTAAACCTACTAAGTGATGACAGACCTACCGACTCGCGACCCTCACTATTTTCATAATTTTTTTAATATTTAATCAAACTTAAGTCATGTTTGCATTGCTTATATTAATATAATTGTACCATACCTACCCTCTTTACTAAACCTAAGCTTTGCAAACATTTCTATGTTAAGTCAGCGGATATTCAACTTTTATTTAATTAAACTGTGTTACGATGATGCGAAGATGTGTATATGCGTGTGTGTTTGTCTCTTTCACTAATATCTCAAGAAACCAATTATTAGATTTCAATGAAACTTGATACATATATGTAGATTATCTATGATAATGTGCAGTCTGGTTCTGATTCTCCATCAAAACTATTGCATGTTCATCTGTGTGAAGCATTTTTGTTTCAACCATTTGTGTGCTAAAATGCGTCAAAATCAAGAAAAATCACAGAACTGCCTTTTGGTCATTCATTGACAGATTTCACTTCAGCAAATCATGAATCTACCGGTAATTCAAAGTGACTAACAGCCATTATTTTAAATACTGTTCTGCATTCATATCTCTGACTGATTATATTAAAACTTCCATAGATATGAGATCAGTGATTTAAGATGGCCGACAATCACAAATCTGCCATTGCACAATTGGGTCTAACATTTCATGTCAGTTGTATTTTACTGGTAATGAGAACTGTGTTGTATCTGCAATGACTTGTTTATAATATATTTCATACCTTGAAACTCCTTTCTCGATAAAATAATCTTATTCAACATTCTTGCCGTTTTTATCTGTAATTTTTCAACTTCACTTTGTAGTGTTCTCATCAACACTGAGAATCCATCGTATTCCAAAAACGCATCTTGTGCTGCTGGGTACGACTTCACAATACCTAAATGTGAGATTTGAAAAAAAAAATATCAATTTGGGTACCCTATACTGTCAAGTTACAATTTGTGGAGACCCCAGTAAAATGACAATATTTTTTGTTGAAGCGGGGGAGTCATCACCTGCGCATACGTCAGACAGCCATAGCGTGTCATTGTTTACAAACGAGCATCTACCCATGAGCCTTGAGACTCAATTCCCTGCATGTGCACAGGTGACGACCCTCTCGCTTTAAATATTTCTCCATGTTACCTACTATATATCGCAGGGTACTTACTTAGAATGGCATTGAGTGCCTGGTTTCTTATCGTCTCATTCTCTCTTTGTCCAACAAATCCAGCAGTTGCCAGAAACATTTATTTTTGAATAGCACCTCTTGACAGTATGGATTTTTGTGCGCCATGGTTGTCATGACATCTATAGTTCGTATGCGTATCTCATCATTAGAGTCCAAAATGTACATCTTTAGATATGAAACTCCTCCAATCTCGTGAAAAACTGATCCATTAAAGATAACAAATATGGATTATTTAATTGTTATATATTATATTATATATATTTATAATATATAATATTAGATATTTATAATTATATTATTATATACCCGGTACCATATATTCATATCACTGGGCATCAGAATTTTTTTATCACAAACTGCACAAAAACTATTAAAAAACGAAAACATGACAATTTCAAGTTGATATACACTCTCTTCACTTTAACCATTTTGCAAATAGGGTGCACTG